AAGCAGTTTTTCCGCTCCTATAACTACGAAAGATTTTTAACGGAAATCCGTTAATTATACACCGCTCAACGAAGTTCAACTTATTTAGCCTTCTTGTAGCACTTTCTGATTTAAAAAAGTAATAATTGGAGGAAACACTAATTGTAAGATACATTTCTGCGAGTCATTTTATAAACAATTAAAAACATTAATATTAGACTTTGTGAATCTCTTTTTATTACATGATTATTAGGATTATTAAGATGTGCATGTATAAAAAATGAAAAGATATGTTAAATTTATTATTCACATTGTTTTCTTTCGTAAATTTGTAATAAATTTTTATGAATGTATAAATACAATGAAATAAATAAAGAATATCGATTTAAATTGTTCTTTAACGTTCAAACGCATGACGGCGATTCTTAAATTAAACCTTAAATTTTGAATCAAGCGAATTACAGCTACCGGATTGGCATCGGAAATCGAACCGCAAGATTCGCACCTTTCGTATGATAGCAGATCGCGATTCCTGTCATGTGTCACACGGAAGTTTTGAATCCTATAATTCGATCTCTGAATTCCAGCACGCGATCTTGCCAGATTCCAGCTTCAGTCATACGTAGATCTCTATATGCGTTTGTTTTTACTAGCAAGAAGAAATAATGCCCAAAGACACATGATATGTTTGTGCAATAATTTCTATAACATAAAATAATTTATGTAAAGAAAAAAAAAGTTAATATGATTATTAACGGATGAAATATTTATGAAGGATCTTCATCTTCGTACGTATTAATTCTTAACTTCCATTAGACGTTTCATCAATCGAAGCAATTAGTTAGCACAGACTTAGTCAGTGCTCTAAGAGATGACGCATTTATGTTTCCACTCAGATATAACGTCAGTGAGATAACTTGAGATTCATACCGGGTCTTTTATCTTTAATTTCAACGCGCGCGATGATCTACCTTGTACCTCACAATCTTTGTGGTTGCTCCTTTGTCTACCTTGGACGCGTAAACGTTATCGATTAGTACGAAAATAAAATTAGCAACGGGGGAGCGTGCACGCATTTTTTTACTTTAATGGCTGAAAGGCAAAAGTATTCTCTGAACGGCTCTAACCAAGAGAGAAAGCTATTACCGTTATAAAAATTAGTTTAGAAAAATTAAATTTTATAGAAATAATTGAATATATTATCACATTATGGACTGCTAAGTGTAATTATGGTAATGAATTATACATTTTAATTGGCTTATTGGATAATTACTTTTCCCAGCATAAAAGTTTTAGTTAGTTTCTTTTTTCGATAAAAAGAAATAGGTAATCTCTTTCATGATTTTTATTTAAATTATTTATAATTTGTTGTTGAAGAACTTAAAAAAAATCTGTTTATGATTTATTCACGCTATTTTATACGCAGTTGGAAAAAATGTGTCGAATTTAACATAAATCGCATGTCCCAAACGGTCCACTCAAATTTTTGAGTTAATTTTACACAAGATGAATATGTTAGAAGGTAACACAAATATTATATAAGAGAATAAATACAAAGAAAGATAACATCGACACAATTTGTAAACTAACCGTGGGAACATATTGGTTTTCAGAAAATTAACATTTATGATATGTTAAATTAACACATATATTTCATTCATTTGTCTTAGAATTTACGTTTTAAGACACATTATTTTTGTTACTTATTCACTTACTCATAAATTGTGTCATTTTGACACTAAGAAACATTGAATATCAATTTCACAAAAAATCTTTAAATAACATAATCACATTATGTCAAATTAACACTCGAATATGTTAAAAAATTCAACTGTTAACACAAACTTGAGTGAACCGTTTCCAACACAAATACACAAATTTTTTTACTGTGTAGGAAAATCGGCTCTAAATTAGTATTCAGTGATTTTGAGGTACTTTATAATACTTCGACAAACAGCTTAGGCTGTTCCGTTGTCGGCTTTAAATGTTATTAAGATGTTCGATTAAGCTTTGTGGCTTTATATCGGCGACGTGGGAAGTTGTCGGCGTGCGTTGTATAGGAAAACAACAAAGTTATTACCTGAAGAGAAAGAGAGGCGGGGAGAGAGAGAGAGAGAGAGAGAGAGAGAGAGAGAGAGAGAGAGAAAGAGGGAGACTTTGTATCGGGCGAGAATAACTAACGCTCTTGCTTTTACGATGTATCCTTACGGTTAGTATCCACATATACAGCGTCGTTGGACGGTAAATTTTCACTGTCGCACTATTCTTAAAACGTTCGTCGTTTATACTTTATCACGCGGGACCGGAGTCACTTCGTTGTATCATGAAATCGTAAATGGAAATAAAAGTGATAACAATGGGCAGCGATTTTCCTAGGATTTCAACAGGAAGATATATATGATTCAACCCTATTGCCTTAGTATTTCGTATACAAAGAAAGAACAGAATCTTTTACTGTGAAATTTATTTAGATAAAAAAGGTTTTTCTGCTACAAAATTTTTATCGAATAGAGTAAGTTACCAAATAGATTTAATAAGAGTATCTTATTAACCATTATTTAAAATTTTAGTTCAAAACTGATTTATGACATTTGTTGTAATAAATTATCCTAAATAAATTATGCTATAAATAAATTATTTTTTGTTTCAAGAATTTATTAAACTTATATATGTAGAATGCTGGTAATAAGTAACAATACAGATAAAAGAATTTCAGATAGACGCAAAAATATAGGTGCTTAATTTTTTTGGTCAAAGCTGTAGAGGATATACATTTCGAATCATAAGCTTACACTCTTCATAATTCTGCACAAATATAACTTTTTTGTTATTTTTGTTACATGAAAGTTATCTGTATGATGATCTCCGAAATTCACATTCTGTGGCTCTGTATTCTAATTCTTCAATTAATTTATAATCATACAAACAAAAAATGCAGACGTTATATTGTTAATAAAAAAAAATTCTAGACTTTTTTTTAAATATATCACAATAATAATTAAAAGCGCGGTTCATTTAACGCTGCAAACACTTCGTTGATTAATAAAAAGAAACAATTTTATGAATTGACCACTCAAAGAATACTTCAAAGCATTTGCAGCGTTAAGTGGATTGCACGTTGTATCTTAAATTAAATCTGTCTAAAGCCCGTATTCTAAAGTTCAATTGTATCAGAACTCTATATCAAATAGACTTACTTTAAAAGCTGTTATTCTTTTTTCGATTACAAGTGAAAAATTCGCTCGATCAAACTTGGCGCTGAAGTTGGTGAACTTAAGTCAAGTTTTCGTAGCTTTCCAAATTTTCCAAGTTGGTCTTATTTTCCTATCTATCACACAATCTAACAGTTTTCTACGAAGGATGGAGCCAACGACGGCACGATCAGGATGTTTCGTCCTGATGCTAACGTTAATATGTCTTTGTCCACGATAGCGCATTATTCGCTATATAAAAGCTCTACCGGATGGCGAGTGTGACGTCTCATAGTATATACGAATACATGTTGTAGGATATCGACCGTTTCGCTACTCATGTATTACCTCGTTGCATAGACACATACACGTGATCATGGATAGGGGAACCAGGGATGGTGTACTCGAGTTGTCCTATAGTCGTAGTCGGGTTGTGCCGATCGAACGAGAGACTCTGGTATAGCCGTATGCCATGCTTTCGCAGCGTTCGGCACTGGGGTTGGACCGACCCACATCCAAATCGATTCCGGACGATTGTTTCTCAAACCCGTGCACACGGGGTGTTCGGTAAAAGGCGCATTCGTTAATCGGGACGATCGTGTTGCCTATCCTACACTAAAATTTAATTGTGCTCTACATTTTTTCCATTATGTATATTCCAAAATCTTAACGCTAAGTATTATTTATTTCGAATTTCAAAGATATCCTAAAGTTTATGTAAAATTAAAAAAAAAAGGATAAGTCTGTTATCTATTTTCAGTTAAAAAGCGCAATTTATCGGAATACTATTTTTTAGTTAGCGTCTCATAAAATAGAGTCAAAATCAATATAATTTTGACGTGTTCGCTCTTTTAAGTAAAAAGTATTTTTCTATATTTATAATACTTGTATTTTTAAATTCCATTTGAAAACTAAGAACTATTTATATCTCGACTCGTTTTTTCAAAGAGAAAGCTTTTCATACTTTCCGATTTCAGATATATCGTTAAATGTAATATTCACACGTCCATCAACGAACACCCCATATCTTCCTGCTCGAAAATCCTGTGGCCCTTTTCCCTTTCCCTTGCCCAACTGTTTAATTAAAAACTCCGGGTGTGCTGGTTGGTGAGGGCGAGGCGGTTCGTTCTATTTAATGATATGGAGATAATCGGAAGGGCACTTTGGCTGTGCTGGTAGCCGGCTTGGCACCGGTGGTCGTAGTTATTGGTTCCTCCTTTTGTATGGATATTTTCTCTTGGTAGAAGCAGCAATGGATATGTCGCTTAGGTAAAATTGGCCACGAGCTTTCGCGGATTTAGATCTTTACGTCCGTCCCTTTTGTTGTCTCATTGTTCTGCAATTTTAGCTGAAGTTGCCTCATCTCGATATAATACGTAGTGTAGTTGTACATCGTTATGCTCTAAATATTATTTAATATATATTAAAAAAATCATGTCAGTTTTGAAATTTTTTCAAATATTGAAACAAGAAATTATATATAGTAGAAACTATACAGACCTATCCTAATATTCCAAGTTTTTTTTAGGAAACTTATTTTATTTGGAGAATTGTGATGATTGGCTCGATCATCAGCTGAATAATCAGAAAGTGATGAGAATAAGAAGTGATAAAAATGATAATAATCGCGATGTCGCTGACTTGTAGTTAATCACTGCCCTCGCGATGACTTCGCAATCGTGTCACCGACTTCATCGAAGCATAGCAACTTCCCGTTGTCAAATGACTGCAATTCGTAGGCCTTCGTCGTGACGCTGCATCCTGCGACTATTGTCGCGATAATAATCCTCGGTCGGAATCATGACAGATCTCGTCTGCCTTATGTTGCAGGAGCGGCGAGTCCGATAATCCCGCGATGGGTGGACGGACGAGAGGACTCTGAGAGTTTGTACGATATACAAACCTTGTCGCCGACTCGATCGCTGGGCATCCGGGCTGAGTTTTCTACAAGACGATGGAGGCTTGCCCCGCGAATGTATCCAGGATAGAGGGTGCGTAGGACTCGCGCAGAGGTAGACCAGGAACGAGAGATCCAGCATGGGGAAGTGTTGCAGCAAGCGGCAAGAGTCTCAACCGATCGGTGAGTCAAATTATGATCGTTAACATGCACTGTAGAAGTATTTATCGCTTTATCACTGTAATAATTAATAATAATATATGTATGATTGCGTCAAAGACACCACAGTAGAAGAAGAGAATTAAAGTTCCCCTTTCCGTCATCTCTGTAATTATTGGATTAAATAGATCCGATCTTTAATTTTTCGAGGAACTAAAAAATCCGTCTCACTTTTTATGTAGGTTTAATTAAGTGAATCTAGTAATACACAAGTATATAGTTGTATTATAAAATGGTAACTGCTAATTAAATGGAGTCATGTTGATGTTTCTCAAAGGATAAATTTCTCAACAAAAATGACGATCTCGGCGGGGAATAAAAGTCGAATTTATTATTTAAAATTTGTAGTATTTAGTGCATAGATAAAAGATATATTTCTCATCGGATTGATCTTCCTTGATGAGAGACGGATTTTTCTCTCTATTCAGGCTATAAGAAAGCAGACACGGGACTCAGCTCAAAGCACAGCAATGGAGGTTCCTTGGACCGATACACCGCCGACCCAAATCAGAGAGGCGTGCAAGCTCGGGCGGATATTATCCGACCGAGGCCGACACCCTGTAAGCTACAGATACCGCATCAGCAACCCCGTAAAACGAATCCGCCTGTTAAGTCTGCATGTGTGTATTTTAAGTTACTCTTTTTTTGCTTCCGTAGAACGACCAAGTCTGGACCAAGATAGAATCTTGTTTTGCAAGTAGCCCAATCTTATTTTATTAAACCCGCTTAGCATTTAGTAGTCATTGTTTCGACCTGTTTTAAATATTTCGTCGTTAACCCGAACCGATTTAATTTTAATTGGATCATTTCTTGATATAGAAAGAGATCTCTACTATCCTTGAGAATAAAAAAGGTCTCTAATTTATAGTATACATGAAGTTTTGTTCAACTTCAAAGTTATGCTAGAGTTTGATTTTTTAAATATAAAATGGCTGAAATATAAACTCAATGCAAATGTGAACGAAATATTATTTTCCTCCGATTATTATCGCCTTTTGTAGAAAATAATTAGAAGTCCTTTAGTCAACTTGGTTCGCACTAAGTCTTTTAAAGTTAAATCGCTTCTAACCGGTTCGGGTTCCTCGATTTCTCTCCCGCTCAAAAAACAATTTGACGAGACGTACTGTTTCTTTCCTGATGTAGCGCACTCACAAAGATCCAACAAGATCGTGGTGGCATTGTACAATTACACGGCGCGAGAAAGTACCGACGTTAGTTTCATGAAAGGCGACCGAATGGAGGTCCTCGACGATTCCGAGCCGGACTGGTGGAGAGTGCTGCACTTAACGACTCTGCAGGAAGGCCTGATCCCTTGGAACTTCGTGGCTGTCGAGCGGTCGGTCGAGAGCGAAGAGTGAGCATTTATCTTCTATTCTTCCCTCAGACTTCTTTCCTTGTACTTCTCGATAAGGTATTGTGTACCTAATATTACGATCTTCGCAGTTGGTTCTTCGAAAATGTGTCGCGTAAGGAGGCGGGCAAACTGCTACTGGTTGATGAGAATCCTCGCGGTACATTCTTGGTGAGGCCGAGCGAGCACAATCCTCGGGGTTACAGCTTATCTGTTAAGGATTGGGAAGAAGGAAGGGGTCATCATGTGAAACATTACAAGATTAAGCCGCTCGATAATGGCGGCTTTTTTATTGCCACCAATCAAACATTCTCCAGCTTACCAGCTCTGGTTATGGCATACAGTAGTAAGTTTTAAATTTAATTATAATAGTATATAAAATAATAAATATAACATTATAAAATAATATCTTTGCGTTAATATCATGCACAGATATATTTTATTTTCGTGTGTAACTTAATAAAAAAATCTCTGGTTTTCAAAAATAAAATAAAAAGATAAGCTGTATGTGTTCGAGAACTCTATCTTTAACGGCATTTCTATTATTCAGAAAACGCGTTGGGTCTCTGTCACGTGCTTTCGAAGCCCTGCCCGAAACCGCAACCGGATATGTGGGATCTCGGACCTGAGTTGCGCGACAAGTGGGAAATCAATAGGAACGAGATACAGCTGATCTCAGAACTAGGTAACGGCAATTTCGGCAAGGTTTATTACGGCAAGTGGCGAAATAAAATTGAGGTGGCGGTAAAGACTCTGCGTCCAGGGACCATGTCGACCGAAGCGTTTCTACAGGAGGCAGCCATAATGAAACAATTCCGACACAGGCATCTGGTCGCGTTATATGCGGTCTGCTCGAAAGAGGAGCCCATCTATATTGTACAAGAATACATGTGTAACGGCAGTTTGTTGGACTTCCTCCGAAAGGGAGACGGCAAGTACATGCAGTTCGAGGATCTGATTTACATTGCAGCCCAAGTAGCCTCCGGTATGGAATACCTCGAGAGCAAACAACTCATACATAGAGATCTCGCGGCAAGGAACGTACTAATCGGCGAGAAAAACAAAGCGAAAATTTGCGACTTTGGTCTCGCTAGGGTGATCGAGGACGACGAGTATTGTCCGAAGCAGGGCAGCAGGTTCCCTGTCAAGTGGACTGCGCCGGAGGCTATCGTTTATGGCAGGTTCAGCATTAAGAGCGACGTCTGGTCCTACGGAATCCTGCTGATGGAGCTCTTCACTTACGGACAAGTTCCTTATCCTGGTAAATTTTTTCATTCCGTTTCATATTATTCATATATACTCAGTTCATCTCTATACATTTTTGTCATGTATGCAACTATACACCGTTAGATACCAAAAAAGCAATAGTAACCCAATTCCTTGAGATAAATATATAACATTTTGTTATTTTTAACTTCCCTGTATATATATCAAAATATAAATCAATCCGTTTCTGTGATTAGTTTCAAATTAAACAACATTCATATTAACGCTTGCAAATAGTAAATAATAAACTAAATTGGAGTCAAATTTAAATTTTCTTGAATTAAATTATTTAACTTCATCATTTTAATTAAATTAACGCTATATTGAATGCAAATATATTTATCTTTATTAATAAAAAAGTTATAGCATATAAAGTAAAACAATGCTATAACGAGGAGGGTGACAATATGGCACCAAAGAGTTAAGTATGTACTTTATCATACATAATGTTTTCTTTCAGGTATGCACGGTCGTGAAGTGATTGAGCAAGTGGACAAGGGCTATCGTATGCCGAAACCATTGAACCATCCGCTACCCGATAGCATCTACCGACTGATGCTACAGTGCTGGGATGCTAGCCCCGAGAAGCGGCCCACGTTCGAGTTCCTGAATCACTATTTCGAGTCGTTTAACGTCACTAGCGAAATACCGTATCTCGAACCGCCGACGGACTGATATACAGCCCATCAGTATATGCAAAATCATCATCTGCCGCCTCACGGTCACTTTCACCCAGCCCACATCAATTGTGCCATGGAATTTTATGGTATTTACTGCTAAGTAAATTATTTAGCATGTATTACGCTGCCCTCATCGGAACCTTCGCGGACTGGATGCATCGTTCTCACAGAAAGAAAATACTTGTAATAGGAGAACACCTTCACATCCTCGCGAGATTTTGCACCGTTGTCGCGAGTGACATTTTTTGGACTGCGAAATTTTTCTGTAGACTTTGGCGACCAATCTTCTTGACACACAGTGCCGCGAACTTATCGAACTTATCACTGTCAAATGCTGCCGAAAATTTTATCTCTCG